AGGGAGATCATCTCTCACTCGGGGAAAGACTTGGTCATGGATGGGTTTTCCAGTCATGGATTTGGTCATGGATGCGGTCATGGCTGAAACGAAGGTAATTCAAGTGCACTCCAGAATCCCGGCAGGGATGCTGTATAGTACATTGTGCACATTGTTATAGAGGTAATGTACTATGCAGCATTTCAGAGGGGATTCGGGAGTCCATATGGCATATAATTGTCACTTTTTAGAAAGGAACAAAACATGAACACATAGCCAGCATATGACCATTGGGAACATGACTCTGCCTCATGACCGGTAACATGACCGGTCATGAGGCCTCATGAGTGGTCATGAGGCAACATGACCAGATCTATGACAGGAAACCCCCCGCATGACCACATCCATGACCTAGTCGTTCCCCGAGTGATCAATAACTCCCAAAGAAGATTAAGTCCTTGACCACGAACCAAAGGCAGCTTGATAACCAAAGCCATGATGTGCATACAGGCACACATTGATGGGGCCAAAGTGCACGCAGGCACACAGAGATGAGGCCAAAGTGCACGTGGGCGCACATTGATGGGGCTGAAGTGCACGTGGGCACACAGTGATGGGGCATAAGTGCACGCGGGCGCACCAGATGAGACCAATGTGCATGCTGGTGCACAACAGGATAGGCAAGTTGCACACGGGTGCAACTCACAGAAAGACAAAAACATCTGAGACAAAGGCATGCGGGCCTGTGTACAACACTCAACATTTCATCTCATGCATTATGGCCAGCATCGTCATCGCGCCTCTTGTAGTCGTGTCCAGAGCTGCCGCACACTCTGCCTCCTCGTGAGCCACCTGCTCCATCGCCGCCTGTGCGGCTGGCAGCACGCTTTAGCACTTGCTCCTTAACTCCATCTACTAATTTTCCTGGCTTGGTCTTGTCCCGGAACTTGTCCTCATTGCACAAATTGCTGAAACAAATGTCTGCAGCCGCAAGACCAATGCGCGGCTCAGCCGCAAGGGTGTTGGTGACCGCCATGCCGAAAGGGTGTTGGTGACTGCCATGCCGACCTGCACGGTGGATCATAGGCTTGAGGACTTTCATAGCACCCTTCACTTTCGGTGGAACCTCCACCAGCAAAGCTAAAGCCAGCTTTCCCTGCGTGGCAAAACCGTGCAAGACTTGTTTGCAGAAACCCGACGGGTCTGTAGGCTGTCGAGCCTCGATACCGTAGTGACAGGAAATGTTCGTGATTTTAATTTCGTGACGGCATCACGAAATTATGTCACATATAAATTACAAGCTGTTCCAGGCGATGGTCGTCACGAATATATGTGTGCTCCGAAGCCAAATCGTATAATGCCTTCAACACAGTAATTACTCGTCGAATTCCACTTTTCTGGCCATATATACATCCATAGTAATTGAACGGACATGGATCCGAGGGCCAAGCGGCCTAAGCAACAAAGCCTCCTTCAATGCGGACTCTTCACACTTGCTCGCGGCGCCCCAGCTACGGATAGAGCTGGTTTTGCCGCTCCTAAATAACCGTGCATGCATTGGCCAGCTTTTGCGTCAATCGACGTTCTGAGTCGGACCCATTAACGAATATTGCAGGCACCGTTGCTTCGGTTGCGTTGGCTTCTCACGAATTCAAAAGTTTCACAAATAATTTCGGGTGTAATTTTGAGGGTGTCTCGAACAATAAAATCACGACCATTTCCTGTCACTACGGTACACCGCAACCACTCCGGTGCCTCGTTGTCACTGCTCGATGAGGAACTTGAGCTTGAGCTGTCGTCCTTCTTCTTCCTTTTTTCCTTGCTTCTTTTTGCCTTGTCTGGTGCAACCGATGCCGCCCCCGCCTCGGCTGGCGACAGAATGGTGGCTGCCGGATTTTGGCCAGCTGTCATTACTTTGGCCATGGAGGCCAAAAGCTGGCTCTGTTCCGCCATTTGTTGCTGGAGTGGGGTGATGTTCTGCTGGATTGCAGTGTTAACCAGCACCGCTCCCGCGGCGGGGCTGCCGGCCGGTGGAGAAGGACGGTTGAGAGGTGGTGAGAAGGTGATACCACCAGCCTCGCTGGTGGCGGGACCCGCGAGGCCAGTGGTAGCGTTGATCGCCACATTGGCGCCATCTTGGGCGGCCGTACCTTGCCGTTGATGCGATTGCTCGTTGTTCAATGTCGACATCTACCTTGATGAAAAAGAAAAGACAGGAGCCTGAAAGAGAAGGTGATGACTAGGTAGGGCTTCAATAGTGAGCACGATGCTCTATCCGAGATTGCCAAGCACAACAAATTGTCAGCTACAAGCTGAAGCTCTACTGAGTGAAAGGCAGAATGCCTGTATCGAAAGAGCTGAAGCAAATAAGACTCGCCATTCCAATACGGTTGTACGACAGTCGCACAGAATTACACACGTTAGCCCGCTTGTGAAGATCGAGTACCGCTCCTTCATGTTTGCCATCGCCAAAAAAACAGCAAAGCAAAGCGCATGTTGGTAAAACAAAAGCAGGCCCGGATGTTGCGATGTCTGCTTGCATACACACAACGGGGCCAACGGTTCACCGGTCAACACCCTCGCTCGCGGCTCAGTTCCTAAAAACACAACGGGGCTAACATCTCAACACAGTTTGCTCATAGATGTGCCCTGGAACAAGCTAGGGACCGTCAACAGCGAACAGGGAAAAATACGCCAACCGCGAGCGTGTAGCATGCATGGAGGGGCTGCCTGCTGGGACGGTTGCGCAGTCGGATACGATCCCCGAGCACTTCCAGGTAAAAAGTCGTGTGACCGTATCGCTTATCTCCAGCGAGCATCAGATCTTTACCCCTTCGCCACGCTGTGTCCGCAGTGCCCGCTGTGCGACGGCCGTGTCACAAAGATTTTCAGGCAAGCGCGGTCTTCGCCCACACGGCCACTTGACACGTTAGCCCGCTTGTGAAGATCGAGTACCGCTCCTTCATGTTCTGTGAGTCGATTGGTCGGGAGGAGCAGAAGCTGCCTCTGGTTGAGCTAAAGAAGCGCCGCAAGGTGCACCGGAGGGTTGGTTTTGGTTGGACGGGTAGGATTCCCGATTTTAATCGGATGGGGATAAAGGGAAACTGAGCCGCGAGCGAGGGTGTTGACCGGCGAACCGTTAGCCCCGTTGTGTGTATGCAAGCAGACGTCGCAACATCCGGGCCTGCTTTTGTTTTATCAACGTCTGTTTTGCTTTGCTGTTTTGTGGCGATGGCAAACTTTGCTGGTGGTCTTCGCGATGCAAGCAGATGGCTCGGGTCCAGGACAGATTCCATGGCTTTGTTTATTTCCGTTTATAGCTAGGTTTTATGTATCCCTATGAGTCCATTTCTAGGCCTGAGGCTGTGTCCCGGGACGGTTGCGCTTGCATGGCACCGGCAACTGCGGTCGCGCCTTGCAACTTCAGCTCAGTTTGCATGAATATAACAAATAAAACATAAAGGACTAGAGAAGCAGTTTGTTTGAGGAAGTAGATGAAAGCGGTACCAACCAACTCCAGGGTGGGCCTCACTTCGAGCCAGGACCCCCCGGCTGTCTTGCCAGGATTAGACTTAGAGACTCCGATTCGCTCCGGCGTATCTAAGTCAACAAATATCTACCCGGCAACGAACACAAATCCCTTCCACGCGCTGAAGTGACCTCAGGTCCCGCAGTAACGTCAACTCTCTGCTAATGGCATAAAAATCAACTGAGATGCCCAACCGAGTAAACCTCGATTACAAGCATCAAAATCTAACGGACGAAACTATTGTAGACTTTATAGAAACGACGGTGAAGCCCGACGTAGCGTCCTGTGATTGCATTGTATGCTTGGATTTCAGTTTCAACCGGTTGAGCACGAATGGCTTGCGCGTGATTGCGAAGCTCGTGGAGGGAGAGAAGCGGGTACGCAACTTGAAACTTTGGACTTTTGGCCAATAGTTCAGTGACGTCCTTCTGTTGCTGTTGCATGCTGTGCTTTGCCCCTAGATAAAGGAGGCGTGCGTCGGCTACAACTCCTTCTGCTTCTCCGAATTTTACAACGCAATGGCCGAGATGAACCTATCGAAGATGGTGGAGGACCAGCGGGTCTTCATGTCGAGCTCGGCGTTTGACCTTAAGCTTGCTAAGATGTTTGAGGCTATTCAGGAAATTCGGCGTCAAGACGTTGAAACCGTGGACCAGGAGCTGCGCAACTCAGCTTCCTCCGTGAAGGCGTTCGCAGAAGCAACGAAAGTGTTTCAGAAAAGCGTGAGCGACGTCATTGGCTGGCAAAAGGGCCAGAACGACCGTTTTGATGTGCAGATGACCTCAGCTGTTCGGTCTTTGTTGGGCACCGATGACGTGATCGAGTTAACGCGAAGCTTCAACAAGGTTCCCAAGATGGAGCCGTCGCTGCCTCGGGGATTCGAGTGGGATGGGGTGCTCTTCAGCAACCCTGACACCATATGGTTGGTGGAGGCCAAGAGCGCAGTCGACACGGGAGACATCAAAGACATGCCCGAGCGGATGGCCCGTACATCCGATTTCCTTCAGCTCATCTATAATGAGACGCTACCTTCGCCGGATGACCGGCTGTCACTTAAGCAACTGTGCAATGCGTGGAAAGTTTTCAACCAGATGCCGAAGAAGATTGTCGGTGTGGTTGCAGCCTTGGGGTTCACAACTGAGCAGCTGAGTGCAGCTGCTGAGCGTGGCATTAAGTGCGTGTACTTGAGGGATGACGCCTTCAGTATGGTATGATTTAGGGGGTGTTTCCACTTGGATTAAAATTCGCGGATTAAGGCTTAATCCGTCGCATATGGAAACATCGCGCGGATTAGGGCGGATTAAGGTTAGCGCGATTAGTTAGAGATTTCCGCCCGTATTCGCGCATCGCGGATTAATTATAGTTTAATATGCTATGAAATGCGCGCATTCTTCCTATACTAAAAGCTCAAACTTGGTGGGGAAAATTTGCTACCTGTTGGCCACCAGGTAGCAAATTGACAATCTCGGATTAACACTTTTTACGACGCCTCATCAAAAGCCTGATTGATAGGTCGGAAGGTTATCCTTTATAAAGGCTGTAGTCTACAGCCTTTATCTAAGATGTTCCCAGTTTTGTGGAAGCTTTGTGCTTCTTGTTCGGCATTATGCACCACACCGTGGGTGTCGTTCAAAGGTGCTGCAAGGCCTTAGGGCTGGCCTAGGTGCTCGTGAGGGTTAGATAAATTTAGCAGGCTGCAGGGCTGTACTATTTTAGAAAGGGGAGGGCAGGATGTAGGGATGGGCGTGGGCGATACAGCGGATGCCGGGTGTGGAAAGTGGGAGCCTGTGCGGCTTGCAGGGTTCTGGTTAACACATGTACACAAATTGTGTACCTGCTTGATGCTTTGGGCTGCCTGGTCTAGGCTGAAATGGATTTGCCGAGCAGGGTATTTTTTACATTCATCGAAAACCCCTTAATGTTTTTATTCTAGAATCTATCGCGCCGTTAATGTTTGAAATTAATAAATATTTATTTGAAGCAGCGCACCGGAGAGGGTCAGCCGGAAGTGCTGAATACCGGCTGGTGCAGGTAGCTGTTTCCCCAGCAGCTTCAGCCCTGATACAACGTTTGTTTGCCTATTTGCCATATTTGCGGTTGCTAGCGGGCGAACAATACGAGAGGTGTTGTCCTTGTTCATTTTTATAAGGCAGCGGTGTGACTAGAAATTCGGTCGGAGTGCAAAGCGCGCACAATTTGTCAAGTATGTGGTCTTTATGAGGGTCTTTCCATTGGCCAGCGGCTGGGAAAGTTCCTTAACTTCTATGGAGAACTTAAGAAATTTCCTTAATTTCACTTGCCATTGGGCCCACTTTACACAACTTTTATCAGACGTACGGATTGTAAGAAATTGCTCACTTTTAAGCTACGTTAGCCCTCGAGCACATTACTACTATTGCCCAGCACGTTTTCGCTCGCATTCCTTGACTCCCCTAGACAATGTCCCCATGGGCACCGTCGGCAAGCGCGCAGAGTTGTGCTGGGACGCGACCTGGTTAAGGCCTCCATACGACATTTGCGAATGATGTAACCCGTGATGATAGTCCGGGAAAGCCGACTCGAGATTGACAAGGCCACGCTGCACTTGAAGCTATCTCAAGCGAGCCTCGTCATTCATATGAGTTCCAAGGTACTCAGCAGGAGTTCCTTGGAAGGACATTGACGAGGAAATAGCACTCGCCGATTTTGCGTAGCAGGCGTCTGTCGCTTCCGAGCGCCGCGACTGCACTGGTCAACGCACCAAATATTTGGCTATTCAGCTCACACAAATGTGAAGAGTATATGCGAGGTCGACAATTTAATACATGGTCGGGAGCATGTACTAGCTAAGTATTTCTTAGCGAGTGTAATGGAAAAGTTACGGAAATCTCCCTTTCAATTGGCCGTCCGGCAACTTCTCGCATGGGGCATTTCGCGCTGCCAAAATTACATACACACATTCGCTTACATCTATATTATCAGTTTGTGCAAGAAATCCCAAAAAAGGAGGTGCGGCGGGCCCGGCCGGCCCTAAGGAGAATCTACGAAAATTTACGACCAGCCAATGGAAAGACCCTCTATAAGCGATTGGGCTTGGCCGTTTGTTATAACTCGCGAAATTGGCGACGCAATTCAGGTAACGGTACGAGGGGTCAACGTTTGACGAAATTCACTATCGACTTTTCGTCCACTTTACCGGTAACGTACCGTTACCATGTCCGAACCGACCACTTTTCCCCAAAAGTCTTAACGTAACGTAGCATGTAAACTAGCTATTAGGAGCATGATGATTAGGTTCCCTTTCACGCCAGAGCGAGGTCAACAAAGCAGCACATGCGGACATTTTCACGCTGTCAAAAAGCACACCCTAACTGTCAACCGAGATGCAGAAAGGAAAACCGCTACAAAAATAATATGGAGAGTTTGAAAACAAAATACCGAGATGATTCCATCTGCAAAAGATGTCACGTGTTTCGCAGGCCAGTCATTCACACCTCATGAAGCAGAAGATTTGGCTATCGCATCGGTGCACTGCAAACATATCAAATGTGCTCTCTACGGCTCGGCTCCAAAGTTTCGAGCGACAGAAGGAATCCGTGCATATACGGCAACCTTGATGTTGCTGTTTTCCTGCCCAGTGAAATAGCTTTCGGAATGTAGTGTAACGCCGTATGGGAAGGGCATCTCTGTCTCGCAAACCCATGACGCTGCCCAGTCTGCAATTACAATGTTGCCGAATGGTGTTGTAAACCCTCGTATTGAATAGCTACAAGCAAATAAGCATTCTCATTCAACTTAACCACGTTTGTAAGGTGCTGAGGCTTTCTTAAAGTAAAGAGTGATCTGGGTCAACATATGTGGCCCCCAAGCAATTTTCAACATCCATAAAACCCTTTGCAGACACGTAAAGTAAGACCGTAATTGTCACCATGAAAAGCGCCTACTAAAAAGTATTTAGGTTAGGACTGCTGGCAGCCAAAGGCGTGTGTAGCCAACGCGTTTCTCGGGCTCTCTGTAAATGCATTTCTTTTTTGAGGAAGTAACAGCTGCGAAGGTTATCTCTATGAATTGGTTGTGCACAGAAGTCATGTTTGGTTGCCGGTTTTGGACCGTACAGAACTACACTTCTTGTCCTTAGAGGTCATTCGCATCAATTAAGGGTTGTGATTAACATTATTTTCATGTTACCGCACTCCCTATATCAGCGACGAGCCATGATTTTAGGACAAGCCTTACGCATTCAGTTGTGAAAGACTAGTGACAAGGTATTCAGGGCGTGAATTTGGTGAATACATTAGCATTGACTTAACACCTTTAATTCAATACAGTATTTTAGTCACTTTGACTTCGTCGGCGTGCGGCGCATAAGCAACGGTCCTTTGCAAGCGTTGCGACTTGACTTTGGTTTTGCCCTCCAAGCTGCAACGTGAGGGTCGTTGTTATTGTCTGCTGCTATCTGGGCTGTGGCACCCCGCGGCCTTGCGGCCCTCCGTATGTCACGCCATGGGCCTTTTCCTGCATAACCCATCACACAACGACAGCTTAACATATCGTTTATATATTATAGGTTTGAACAAGAATGGCAACGGCGACGCACATCCCTGCCGCAGCTCTGGGCGACACATTCAAGGGGGAAATATTTAGCAAGGAGGTGGAGGGTTGGCTTGGGCGGGCAACTCCTGCAGATCGAGAAAGATTTGAGCGCGTATTTGAATCCATAAGGTACTTGCGGTAGGCTGTGCGCGGCTTTCTGGGGTAGCTTCTGGGTGGGGCCGAGGTCACCTTCGTTACCTCCTCTTAGTTAGTACAGGTCGCATCACAACCGAAGAACAACACCCGCTCAGAGCATATACTGTAAAGCTCTCAATTTATGGTTTTGGTCCTTGCAAGCAAAACTTACCCTTGGCTACGAACCTTGAAAAAAACCAATTGCCGCAGGTCCATCTCTGAGTCGAAGAAGGCACCGGACGCGCACGCCGGATTTGTTCACTCTACTCTTAACAAGATCAGGCAAAGCAGCTCACGGCCGTCCGCAGGAATCAACGGCCGAACTTCAGTCCTTGCGCGCGGATCCCCCGCGGTCGTCTGCAATGGCTGGTCCTACACCGCCACCCGGTCCGCCTTTGACAAACCAGAAACTCGCAACGCTATTCTCACAATTCAAGATCAGGTTGAGACCCTGCAAGAACAGCAGGCGCAGCAGCAACAACGGGAAATTGACGCAGAAGCCGACCGGCCACAGAGCGCCCCTGGCCGCAGAACCGCTGCCTTGAGCACAGGCCGTGACCGGGAACTTACCCTCTTAGAACAACACCGCCGCGCACGATCCTTCAGCACGATACCGGCCCACACAGGCACAGGAAGCCCAAGCGGCGCAGCATCACCGCGACCACCGTCCCCACTACATGGCGTCCCCGAGCCTTCCGGCACTGGTTTCGTGCCCCTGAACCCCCACGTCACACGATATCAGGAGACTTACAACCTCCGCAGCGCCTATCCTGAAATATACGAGCAAGCGCTGCGAGACACCAAGGTGGAGCCGCCTCCCAATAGCACCTTTATCAGTGAATGGGGCAACTCACTCAAATCGGTAAGTAAAGCACTAGAAGGGAGCGATAGAGCAAAGCGGTGTCCAGGGGCATGAATGACGATGGCGACGATGATGTTGAGGAGGAGGACGGGGAGGAGGAGGAGGAGGAGGGGGAAAAGAGGAGGAAGAAGAGGGGAAGGAAGAGAAGGAGGGGAAGGGGGAAGTGGAGGAGAAAGGGGGGGAGGAGGAGGAGGAGAAGAAGGGGGGAGAGGAGGAGGAGGGGGATGATGATTCTCTGGACTGCGAAATAAGTCTCTGGACTGGACTGGAATACGCGAGTGAACATACATACATACGTACATACATACATACTTTACGAACATTCATACATACAGGGTTCCGAGGACGCTCATAAGCTTCACTTGCGCACCACGTACAACACGGTGAACGACGAAGTAGTCAAGTTCAAGACGGATGCCGAAGCGGTTCGGGAGCGGGAATTCTTCAAATGGATGCAGAAGCAAAAGTCCTTTTACGGCGACTTGCTATCTAAGGAAAAAACCAAGGACTTGGACCAGTTGCTCGCGGGCGCAACTGACGAGCAAAAGCACGAGATTCTGCAGGTTCTTCGCACACTTCACGCAGCCTCAGACGACTGCTTTGACAGGACACGCAGCCACAGTCAGGGGGTCCATTGCCCCATGCGACGTATGGAGGATGAGGCGACGGAGGCGATGCGTCGGACGCACAATAAGGTACGGAATATGGGTCAGCCGCTGGCGACGGCGACGGTGGCGCGGCGCGCCGCAACCGCCCGGCGGCCCGCCACGGCGGCGGCGGAGTTGAAGCCCGCGACGGTGAACTTGACGATGGGGGAGCCAGGTGAAGGGTCATCGGCTGCCTCCGTCGCCGGTAGCAGCCGACAGGGCAGCAAGGCGCTGAAGCCGACGCGACGGCCGGCGACAGCGGGTGCCGCGCTCGGCGGCAGCGGCGGCGACGGTAACGGCGGAGCCAAGGGCAGCGTTGTACGGCCGGTATCTGTGCCGCCGCCGCAGCGCGCTGACAGCGATAGAATGGACACCTTCCGCTCCAAAGTGCCCCTTACGTGGCCTAGCGGCCGCACAGGTCCCGAAATCACGTCGTATGAGGAGACGTACGGCAAGGTTGGCGCAGGGCAGGTTCGCCCCAACTCGGCTTTGTTCCGTGCACGACCCGTTAAGTACAACGATACGTCGTGTCCGTACGGTGCCATCAATCCGTACACCGCTGCTGCGCCAGCACGCACAGCCTACC